TAAGAAGAGAGCTAAAAGCAAAACCTGAGAGTTGACTCTTGATGGATGCAAGAAAACCAAACTTCTTTGAAACTGAATTGGTACTTGATTGGCTTTCAATAGTAATAATTAATATGAGTAGTGTCATTCATAAACATTTAAAATTCAGAAGTGGAACTGTTGTTAGCCAAACAAGTACAAACCCAACTTTGTTTGGATTTCAAATTTAATATCTTAATATTTAGTCCAAGGGAGATTTGAGGGGGTTTTTTTGGCTTGCTTTGTTTGTTTGGTTAGGGTTTGGGTTTTTTTCCTTTTGAGAAGCAGAATTTGTGAAACAAAACAAAAAAAAAACCCTCAGATGTGGGGGGGGAGTGCCTTCAGATGTATAAACTGCCAGCCCCGTGCCTAATCCTGGGGGGAAACACCAAGCCTGCTTTGGGGCTCTCCCTTATCGAATAGCCCCAAGCTTTTTGAGGGCTGGACAAATCTGTAAAGGAACCTTCTAACTAAATGATTGCTCTCTTTTGTTTGTTCTCTGGGCTCGAGAGTCCTGTGGTGTGGATGCTTTTTATTCCACTTTCACCACGTGTGGAAGGTATAGATAAGTGTTGGGATCATCAGTTTATTACAGCTGAATGAGGGAGGTTTACAAAGTGGGAAGGGAAATGGCATGCCTGGAGTTGCTCCAGAGAAAGAGATCAAATGAATAATCCTCTGGCTGAATGAATGCCTGATGTTTATTGAGGAGCTCAGAGCAGCCCGACAGTACCAGTACACACCGTGTAGCATGAACTGGAACCAGAGCCCAAAGCAGCTGTTGGGGCAGCTCTGGTTTGTGCTCAAAGTCTGGAGTGTCTGCAGACCTGCTGCCCATCCCCTGCCCTCCCTCCCCACTTGGTAGGTGAAGAGAAAGCAGAAGGAAGGAGCAGGAGCAGAGCTTTTCATAACCTTCCCAAACAGAGCAGCTCCTGCTGTTTCTTCCAGCCTGGAAGCACCATGTTCACCCACAAGCTCCTGTGGGGGGGGCATGAGTGGGCTCTCCTCGAGGTTTGTACTGGATTAGTCCTCCTCTAAAGGCTTTTTTCTAGCTGCTCTATTTGTCCTGTAGTCCAGGGTTTGCGGTACTGAAATGTTCGGGATCTGACCAATGATCATGCTGAGTTTATGAAGGGATTATTAAACTTTGCACAAGATCAATTTTCTCTGGTTTGGCCTATCTAAACTTCTCTCCAGAAGGTACGACTTACACTGACAAATAATGAGAGTCTTTAGTGACATGATTACATGCTCATTTTTCCTCAAACAGCATTCTGCCTAATTTCAGCGTACAGGATGATCCCACAAGGGGATGGAATTATGGCTGCATGAGCAGGTTCAAATCTGCCGTTTCCTAATTTGTGAATGCCTGACTCTTTTTTCCAATCTAAATACCTTTCCTGCGACTGAGGGTTTTTCCCTTTTTTTTTTTTTTTTTTAATGTGATATATTTGTAAACTTTATTGCTTTAAATAAAAAAGATGCAAAATTCAATGTTCCTTATCACTTGAAATTAAAAACCCCATGTCTTGTGCCTCTTTCCTTTTGGACACTACATGGGCATGTTAAAGTTTAAGGAAGTTAATTTGCTGTTTGTTTTCTGTGTGGCGTGTCTGCATCCATAATTTTTTTACAAATCTAAATGTGGGGTTTTTAAAAAACAAATTAAGGAGATCCTCCTTATCCACCTATACAGAGCCATATAAACAAATACTCTATCAAACTCTTATCTCAAATAAGGCATTAGGGAGGGGCAGTTTAATCAAAAGAATTATTTTTTAAATATCATAACCTGTGGTTTTTCCCATTAGGGAAAAAAAACCCAAAACAAAACATTTTTTTTCAACCTGAATACAAGCAAAGGAGTGCAGAGACCACTCCTGCAGATTTGTCAGGGTTTCCCCTTCGGAACTGCAAGCTGCTGGATTCCTGAAGGAAGCAGTTTTAACATACATGAGCAGTAAAACTTTCTAAATGCAGGTGTGTGGAACTGGTTAAAATTCTCAGAACAAAAACAGATGATGTGATCCATCCCAGGGACCATAATTTCAGTTCTTGGAGAAATGAGACATGCAGTGGTAGAGATAAGTGATTGCATCAGGTTCATGCTAACCCTCAGGGTGATATCCATGGTGTTCATCAAAAAATAAAATAAAAGAAAAAAATAAATTTGGCTGGGCTAATTCACAAGAGCTAAACGTAGTTACCCCTAAATTACACTTCTCCTTTCTCTCTGAAAGCTTTTGGGGTAGTGTCTCTCTAGGTGTTTCCCCTACTCCTATTTCAGATTATTCCCATTCTTCCTGTTTTTCTGAATAGTTCCCAGACCTTCTTAAGCTTACCCAGTTGGCACCTGAATAGCCTCCGTTTGCATTTGAGCTTTAGTTTGTTTAAGGCTTCTGATTTGTAGACTGAAATAAGGACTCAGCTTGTTCACACAAAGGAAGCAAAATTCCAATTCCTGATCTGGACCAGATTCAGAGTGAAAAGCTTCAGTGTGGCACAGGAGAAAACTTCCTCTCAGAAGCCTCTTCCTTTCCACCCCTCTCTCAATTTCTTCAGTGTTTTTATGTTGGGTATTTGCTCCAGTTGAATGTTACCAATGGCCAGGGCTCTGCACATCGGGTGTGATTTGACTGTTTCTGATCTAAGGTGTTTCTCCTCCGTGCTGTTGTTTCCATGCACAGTGCCCTGCCCTACACTTTCAGTTTTGCTGACATAACTATTTTTGGAGCTGTACTATGACCTGTATCAGAGAAACCATCCTGCCTATTTTTTTTTTAAATTTTAAAAAAGTTCAGGAAAAGAAAGATAGTTTTGTTGTTGTGGAGTGAAATGCCAAATGAGATTCCTGGAGCAGCTCACAGTAACAGCCCGTGGGCAGAGGAAGGAGCTGGAGCTGGGCAAGGACATCTAAACCCCACATTTCAGTGGGGTCTCCTCAAATGTGTCCTGTGGCATTTCCTTTGAATGCAGACCTGTCCACGTGTCTTAGGCTGCTCTTGGGGGACTGTGTGGAAGAACCTTTAGTTAGAAGAACATGTCAGAATTTGATTTTGTAGCTACCTCCTAAGGGCACGAACTCAGGTGTTTCAGTTAACACCTGAATTTTGTAGAGGAGCTTGCAGATTTGTGATAATTCCCCTCAGAACGTGAGCCAGCCCAGCAAACAGCTCTGAATGACGTTGTGTTGCCTCCAGCTCAGCTGAACACAGGGTATGAGTTAGTAGGGACTTTGGTGCAAAAGGCTTAAATTAAACCATCTTCCTACTCCCCACCCCCAATTGGGCCCACAGCACTGTGACACATATTTTGTAAGACTGTGCTTAAATCGAAGCTAAAAGCTGTGGTTTTCATGCATAAGTGGTGTATAGATTTTTTTTTTTTTTGAAGTTTGCTCTCAGAGTTTTGTTTTGGTTCTATTCTTTTTTTTCCTTTGAGCTCAGAGTGCGTGTGCACCACGTGCTGTGCTTTAGCCTGTGCCTTCCAAACTCTGTTCTGTGCTTTGTGTTGTTTCAGCTGGACTTTATCTCCTCTTAGCAAGCTCCAGCCAAGGTGTGGTGACTGACAGTAGAAGGTTGATGTAAACATTAACGAATTAACTGGGGCAGGATGTGTGCTGGGCAGGGACAGCAGCGTGAACCTTTGCTCAGTGCAGTGCGTGACCCCCCTGCCCAGCCCAGGAGCTGGAGTAGGTGGCTCTGCAGAGGAGGGGAGGGAGAAAACAGAATCAACCCAAGGGTTGAGGAGCGCTGGCATGTGTAGTACCTGTGCAGAGAACAGCAAAGCAGAAGGGCTTGGAAGGCAAACCCAGCACTTTGAACACTCAGAAGATCTTCAGAAAGAGCTCAGTGAACGGGGTACAACTTCCTTTGCCTGCTGCAGAGGGGTGAAGGGCTGAGTCAGCTTGGCTCAGATTTGCACTGTGATCCCACACATTTTAAGCTGAGCTACTTGTGTGCGAACTCACAAGCTTCCCATCAGATTGCATTGGCCTTTTGGTACGTACAAATTACGGCAGTCATTTAGTCCAGTGAATCTTTTGGGTTGTTACACCACTAAAAGCTTGCAGTAGGAACTCATGGGACGATTCTTTCCTTTCTGTTATATCTCCCTTTTAAACTATTTCTGTTAATCTTTGGAAACTGTGCCCTTTCTACAGCCATCTCACCTTGAAAACACACCAGGGAACAAACAGAATTGCTGAACTCTCACAAATTGGGCACTGCCCATATTGTGAGTGGCAGCTGCCTGGGCTCAGTTCTTTAAAGTGGGAGGAAAAAACCAAAACCCCTGAACCTCTTACTTAATTCTGCCAGATGAGACTGTGAGAGACGAGGCTTTTTTGTCTGCTGAATAAACTGAGTGTGTCAGGTGGGGAAGGGGCTGTGTGGAAAAATTTGCACTCGGGTGATGGATGGAATACCCGAAAGTTGCCCTCTGCCTATCTCTGTTGGTAGGGAGGACAGCCACATCATTCCTCTTTGCCCACATTATATCCTATAGGAATGCAGAGAGAGGTAAGTGCAGAAGAATAGAATGTCCCTGCTGATCCTTGTTGCCTTTAAACACCACTCAGTTAACACAGAAATTTCCCGTGGAAGTTGCAAGTGTTTTATGTTGCTATAAAAGGTGGGGTTTTTTTTAAGGAAGCTAAAAACAGATAGGTGAGGTGGAGTGGATGGTAAAAAACACCTTTCTACAAAATACCAGTATATGTTACGACATTTCTGTTGCAGAACACGTGAATCACAGCAGGCCATTTAGGATATAGAGATACACAACCTATTGCATCTTTTTTGTCCTCTTATTCTCCTTGCTAACTACTTGCCCTTTCAGTTCATTAAATCAGCGAATACATTAGTCATTTGCACCAGAAATTACTCACTTTTGGCCACTTTTTCTCTCAAGAAGGCTCCACTGAGTCCTTTGGGAACTTGACTCCCTGTCTGTCCTTCCAGGTGTGTCTCCAGGTTCCTCGTCCCACCTTTGTGAGCACCTTGTGTCATGGTAGATCCCTTGTGCTCAGCGAGCTGGACTCTGCTCCCTGCGGAGCCACCAGCGCTATCGGCGGAGCTGCTCCTCTGGTCCTGGTGGTGAGCAAACTTTACCTGTAGAGCTGCCAACTCCAGGAGGAGGGAGCTGGTCTGGCTTAGTGGTGCTGCCGCTGGTCAGGTCCGGTTCAGAGACCTGGTTCAGTTGTTAAACAAAATTCTGTCTGATTGTGAATGTATTTCCAACTTTCGGGAGAAAACGAGACTGTGTTCTGGAGAGGCAAATATTTAATGTTCGTGTGCTGTGTGAAGGAACTGCAGTGCTGGCCCCACTGTTATGACTTCAGTTCCCTCAAAATCTTGAGATTAATCTTAAAAATAAGACTTTTAAAAAATCCAGCTATACATTTTTTTTGTCACTGTTTTGTTTTCTAAGCCCCGTTTGGGAGAGAGAGTGGGGATATTAGCACTGCACTGTCTCACTTAATGCACTTAATGGTGAGTGTTTTACCAAGTTAAGAAACTCCCACATATACATTTACCTTCCTGTCCTCTGAGGCTGGTTTTCATCAGTTCTATTCCCATTTCCTAAATCAGCTGTATCCCCCGTGTACCTTCTATCCTCCAGACCTGCAAATGCATTTACAGCAGGATCCTCGTTTTCCTCATTTTCACAAGGCAGGTGCACAGCGCCTCGTGCCTTTAGCATTTTCTCAGGCTGAGTGCTTACAACAACTGGTCTGGGTGACATTTTTCATTCCAAATTGTGTGGGGTTTTTTGTGTTGTGAAAACATCACCCCAAAGGAGATGTTGGGGAGTGACGGTCCCAAAACAAGGCTAATTCTTATTATTTCAGTATTGTTGTGCTGGTTTGTGTAACAGTTGCTATCATAAAGCTCTGTGTGGTTTAAACATGCATAATTTTAGGCAAATAGTCTAGTATTTTGCTGCCTTAGGGATTCAGTAAATAAAATAATATAAGGACTACAAAGGCCAGGGAAGAGGCTCCCATTGGTATTGAATGGATGTCAAATCAAGTTTCTGCTGTATAAGCAAACCTTTATCTGAAAAAACTTTGCTTCTTGTTCTGTTTTTAGAAGTATTACAAGGTTATAAATAAATGGAGTGTGTGTGTCTTTCTAAAATATGTGTAGTCTTTGGTTTTAAAGTTGTCCATGTTTCTTCATATGGGTTATTAAATTGCTTTTGGCTGATTTATCTACCTGAGGAGGGTGATCACAGTGTAGACCCTTTCTTTTTTTCATACCCAGGCACATTATCTGGAAAATGTGAGAATCCATTGGCTGTATTTTACGTTTTTGTAAGGTTACAAAACATGAAATAAGGCCCTATGGACATGGCTCTACAAAAGATGTAAGTTCAATTTTATGTTTTGGTATCAAGTGATTGTTAAGGGTCTTACTGTAGCTACATTTATATGGCTCCACTGTAAATACTTGACCATCAACTCAGCCTGTAAGTGGCTCTCCTATAGAGTTTAGCATAACAAGCATTTCTCGTGATCATCGGTGTTACTGTCAGTAACGTTCAGATTTGCTGGTGTTTATTTCTGTGTGATTAAAATAAGAGTTTGTTTTGATGTTGCTTTTAAAAATCATTAAGCATCTAAACTTCCTGGCAGCTTTACGAAGTCTCTCGTCACATCTTTCTCTAGGAATTTTTGTTTGGTTTGTGGCATCCTCCATTTTTGCTGCTTCCAAAACTGTTTGACAACATGAATTAATTGTTGGAAGAGACTTTCTAAAGCAGAGAATGGAGTCAGGCACACAGTTCAAACTGGAAAATGGAGAACAGACCCTGAACTTCATCGACAAAGCTAATGCTCATCTCTTTAATATATATTAAATCGTAAAAAATCAGTTGGCATTGAGTAGAATTTGCACTCCTGAAGCCAAGAGCTTGCTTGGAAAATCCGCTTCTCCCTCTGACCTTGGTTATTTTTCTCAACAATGCAGTAGTTTAAAACAAGCCCTTTGTTCTTATGGCAGTATATACGTGTTTACAGCTTCAGTAATATGGAGGAATTAACCTGGAATGAAAATGCTTCCAAAAACAATCATGGGGGAAATAAAATTATGAGACAAACTTTCAAATTCACAACAGAAGTCAGTGGAGCCCTTTGCATGTTTTTCAGCTGTGTTTTAGATAACTTTGTTTTGCTTCTCACAGAGACCTAATCTTGCAAGGCTAGAACTGGAATTATTTAAATATTGGAACTGCTGCTGGTTTGGTTGCATCCTCCAACATGACCAATCCTCAGTAAGTACCATGTGACATAATTATAATTGATTTTAAATGAAAGGGAACAGGTTGCTGCCTGTAGGGGAACGATGCTGTGACATCAAGAAGGTTCTGAAGTTGTCTAAAGGGTGTGAATTAGCAGAAAAATCATGAGTGCTGTAAGCATGTCTGATGTGTTACTAACAGCAGTGGCTGTAAACTGCTATGTTATATTATTTTCAGGTCTGTTTGTCTTTTTTTTTTTTTTTTCCCTGCCTCCAAACCTGTCTGCCAGCACTAGTCTGTCTTTTTGGGTTTGTTTTCAGTCAGAATGAGATTATGTCTGTCATTTAGTCTGTCTAAGAATACAGAAACCCAAGTACTGCTGGGAGAGGGAAGGCAGCACCAACCCATTTCCTTTTTCCTTTATAAGACTGGAAATTGGATCACTGTGTGCTCTTTCATGCAAAACTGAACCGGCTTGGTCTTCTAAAGGTGAATGTCCACAGGATGGCACTAAAGGTGAAAATCAAAGAAAATTCTTGCTAAAATTAGTTCCTACCTCTGGGTTTCTGATTTCAGATTGTTTACAGAAGAATACAGTTCGTTTGGAAATTAAAGAATCTCATTACTTTCCATTATTAGTTACACACGAATAAAATAAAGGCCTTTAGGTTGTTCAAATAGTACTTCCTTTTACCTCTGCTTATTGCCACAGCTGCAGCCTTTCCCTGCCAAATATTGGAGATATAACAGCATTTTCTGTTTTTTTGTTTTTCTTTTTTTTCAAGTTACTTTCTTATGGAATGCTGGCAGCACTTGGTTCCATTTAATTTTGGAAAGGGTTAGTCTAATGTGAGGCTCTGACCAATAGAAACTTTCACACAGAATTTTAGTTCCCTCACCCACATCCTTAGGTAATATCCTTATACAAGATATAATAGTTAAATACTCTTCTAAACTCTTTACTTCTTTTGGGGAAAAAAAAAGAATTGTTAATCAGGTCGCTTAAATTGCTGGAAGATTTTAATAAGCTTCTTTAAAACAAAATCACCAGTGCCATTTTTGCAGTCAAATAACAGAGTGAAGTTGGGTGCTAAAGAGCTTTTTAAATATATCCCTGTGGAAAAGGAATATCTTCTCACCTGCTGTTGAAAACCTCTGACAGTAGCCTGAGATTTTTCCACAAGTTACCAGGAGTTTCCATTAGTGTTAGTGGGCTGGTGTAAGAATACATCATCAGATTAAGAAGCTGTACATGAGGATGGTTAAGGAAATCCTTATGGAGGAGTCCATAATTCTTCTGAATCACTGTTCTCCTTTCAGAGCTATTTTGAAATAACACAACGATCTTTTCTAGTTAAATGCAACAAAGCTGCCATTTGAATCAATATTCAAATCCACAGTGGAAGAGGGGTCAAACTGCATCCGTTAATTAATGGTTGGTTTGTATACAATGATTAATAAGTTTAGCTATTCATTGCTCGCTGATCTAACTTACAAAGCTGTGAGTTTTTAGTTGGCATGGCTTCACGTCTTCTTTCTGTTTTGCATAAATATTTTACTTTGGGGTTCACGCATTATTTTCTGTATTTGTTTATAACACATCCGTTTGTATTTAGTGCCTTTGAAGCAGATTCAGCAGGGTGAAATGCTGTTCTCCTTGGTCAGGTTTCTGTTGATCACGGTGAGATCTAAGAAAGACAAGTTCGGAGAGATTTGGTCTCCTGAGTGACCTTACAGAGGCCTTTTAAGTTGCTGGATCTTTGGGATTCTATGAAGTTCTTGTCTCTAACTTACTTCTACTCGTTTACTTATTTATGTATTTCTATCTTTCATGTGTGTATGTGTGTTTATTTCAGGCCTACAATTGAAGGTGGTGTTTCAGAAGTTGAGATCATTTCACAACAAGTAGAAGAAGAGACCAAAAGCATTGCTCCTGTACAGCTTGTTAACTTTGCTTATCGAGATCTACCTTTGGCTGCACTTGATCTGTCTGTGGCTGGGTCCCAGCTGTTGTCAAATTTGGATGAGGAGTACCAAAGAGAGGGGTAAGTACAAAGGACAGAATTCTCTTTTATGGTTTAAGGTTATAGTGATTTTGTGATTTGTAAAATAGGATACCCTAAGCTGGAGAAGTGCAGCCAGTTGTCCTCAAACTGGTTTTAAAACCACTGTCACAGAATGGAAGTGACCTTTTCTAATACAGCTGGTCTGGGCTGCTTTGGGGTTCTTTTTAACTGCTGTTTGACCACAGTTTGGAAGCCTTATCCCAGGAAAGACTGGACAAAAACATCTCTAGCCCTTCAGAAAAGCAGAATGGCCTGGTGGAAGTTCTTTGCAAAGGGGGTTCAGGATGACAGAGAGTTGGCTGCTGAGATTCTTGGATGTAGCTGTGCATCTCCTGACAGAGATAATGGCACAATGCTGCTGGTTCCTGCACAGATAGTGTACTTTTCACCCATTGATTGGAATTGTGTAGTTTGATCATGTGAGAATGTTGTCTTGGATAATGTATACAGTATATACATACTGCTCCTGTTTTCATAGAACAGTGGTTCCACTTTTAGTGGAATAAAGGATCTTAACCAGTTCATAGCATTTGCTCAAACATAACCCGGTGTCAGATCATGTAGCATTGTTGTCCTACAGGACGTTAGAAGTCATCCTTATGCCTGGTTCAGGCTGTAGGTGGACTGCTGCACTAAATCCTTTATGAAAGATTTGGGTCAACTGGAGAGAATCCAGGGGAAGGCAGTGAGAATGATTAGAGGCTCAGAAAACCTGCCATGGAGTTACTGATTGAAACAATATGAAGAAGAGACTTTGAGGGGAGCTTCTGAGAGACTGGAGTGAGGAAGGGAACAGCCTCTTATTGATCTCCGTGACGTTCAGGACAAGAAGTAAGAAGCTTGAATTGCAGCAGAGAACAGTGAGGGCAGTGAAGTGCTGGTGTGTGGGGGGAAGGAGGGGGAACTGAGGTACAATTGCTGGATGTAGTCAGGACGATGTATTTGTCAGGAGTGATAACACTATGGTTGAACATCCCTTGGGACAGAGGTGAGGTGAGCCCTTGTGCCCAGCCCCGCTGGTTGTGTGATTGCTGTGTGGCACTGTGTGTCACACTGAACATGCATCTGCTCCACTGTCAATGGCATCCATGTAAAGGCACTTCCCAGTAAGCCACATAGAATGCTTGCTGATGAACACATTAAAAGGCTTTATATAAGCCTCCATTTAATAACAGCTCGCTGAGTTTTAACCTGTGCTCTGTAATCAGCAGAGACCTGCTTGATCTCAGCCCAGCAGGTATTCTGTGTGGAAGTCAGGAAGCAAGATGTGGGGAAGGCTCTTGCCTTTAATTTCTTTCCAAATTGGACTTTATGAGACATCTCCAGAAAGTTGTTACTCCAAACAAGGGGAAATACATTTCGAGTAGGTTATATAAGCACGGTACAACTGTAACATAAAATACCCTGCATAGCAAAAGAGGCACTTGAAAATTAATTTGAGTATGCAGGTGTAACCCTCAGGCTATTTTGGTGCTGAGTCAATACCAGTTTCGTTCAAGTATGCATTTTTATAGATTTTTATGATCTGAAACTCAATTTTTCACTGTGCCAAAGGGCACAGATCTCTCACTGTAACCGTTTGAGCAGCTTTGCAGTCTTAAGCATGGAAATAGGCCTGTCATTCTTTTCCTCAGAGATCTCTTCCTTCACACAGACTTCTTTTGTGGCTTTGTCAGGCTGCATGGAAGTAAGCAGGTGCCACCCAGACCTCCCAGCTGTAGAGTGCATTCTCTGAAGAAAATTCAGAGCTTTAGTTTGTACATCTCAAGGCATTTTGGCTGAATGTGTTCAGCTGAGTCCTGGGACTGCACCTCCCTTGTGGGATCAGAGGCTTCCTCCTTTCAGCAGCTCTCATGACAACTGATGCCCTGAGGGCAAGAAAGGAGTCTCCTGATTTAACGGTTTTGTTGTGTGCATGCCAAGGTTTTCCTCTAATTTTCCTTTTTTTAAGGCCACAAGGTGTTCAGGGTCCAAGCACAAATTTAACCTGGTTGCTAGCGAGGGGAGCTTTTTGTTTGGTCTGAGAGAATGTTTCTCTTAAGAAAGCCAATATTAATGGGCAATCAGGAATAGGTGGAGAGCTCAGGAATAGCTCAGCCCTCTTTGTGTGCCTGGGAACTCTCACGTGGCATCAGATTAGCTACCCCTCCCACAAGAAATGAAAAAAAAGAAAAGGAAAAAATAAAAAGAAAGAAAACTGTGGTCTGTCTTTGACTTGTGTAAACTGACATTCCTATGGCTTTAACACTGGAATAAATGTCCTATTTTGTGCAGTTTGATGGATCTTTGCTTTTTTATATCAAATTCTCAGGGCAGTCGGTTCCTGTCTGTTGAAGGAATTTTGTGGACAGTTTGAGCTGTTCTGTCAGAAATTTGGGTGACAATACTGATCCCTGTGCTGAGCAAAAAAGAAAGCATTGCAGATTAGATGGTGCGTTCAGCCTGGCCCTGAAGTACCTGTAAGTGGTGAAAGGATAATCAGGCAAGAAAAACCTTTCTGCTCTCCCAGAAACCCTCAAACACATCACAAAATGTGTTGTCTTCTAATGTGGGTTGAGCAACAGTTCTTCTCCCTCTGTAGACTTCTCACATAGGGAAAGTACTAAGATTGACATGATGGAAGTTGGTTAAGCTGGACAGAATCTGCATTACAGATACTCGTTACAGATCCCTTGGGTGGGCTGGCATTGCCTTTGCCCTGCACTGATGAGGAGTAAGGTTGTGTGAGGCTTCCCTGGGTAGGATAGGAGGAATTCCTGCATCTGCAGTTCCCAGCTGCAGTTAGGCTGATGGTGCCTGGTGTTAGAAGAGTTTTACTCTTCAGAAAATGGAGGTTTTCTGGTAAATACCAACAATATGTGACCAAAACATTTGGAGTTTTATAAAGTGACTGTAGCAGTCTCTTTATAAAAGGAATCTCTTCCTTACTGTGGGAAGAAACAAGACCCAATGTGAGTGTGATGTTCCTCAGTTAATGATCCCACGATCTACCCTACAGTTACCTGGGTAGATCATCCTCAGAGATCACTGCTGTGCACTGCTTAGACATTGCAGAGAGACACACATGAGAACTGAACTCATCCCAAAAACGTGCCTTGAGTGCCAGGGAGCACACCTGGTGTACACCTGGAACACATCTGTAACAAACTGGGTGATGCTCAGGTACAAAAAGCACGACCTGCAGCAGCAGCTGCCAGTTTGCTTTGTGTGTCTGTGAATTCACTGGATAGGCTGTGTCTTCACCGGACTCAGTTTGCATGAGAAGAGTATGCAAACATCTCTTTGAGGAGACTAATCACCCAGGCAGATGTTTAAATGTTAACACGAGCTTTAAGAGCCACTCCTGATTCCTTTTTTTTTTTTTTTTTTTCCAATCAAGTTTTCTGTTTTCCAAAATATATTTTCTCTCTTCTGCTTTTTGCGTCAATGACCAATAAAAGTGGTGGAGAGTAGCTGGAAAATTGACAACCTGCAGAAAATGTTACGTGTGCAGGGATAGGGAAATGTTCTCTTCCTATGTTTTCCTGATGTTCCTGTTAGGAGGTGTCTGTCATAGTAATTTATAAAGGAATTCACAGATAATTGCACAATAGGCTGTAAATTATTGCTATGTGACTATGCAGATAGACAGTGAACCTCTCTTGATGAAGATCTGTGTTTAGTGGGGGTTGAGAATCGAGGGGAAAGAGTTACACACCAACTTTAAATTATTTATTGTATTTGTTTGAAATTGCAGCTCTTGAGTTTTTGTACATTAAAGAAGTTTGAAACGTGATGGTGCTTTCAAGGGACTGTGTTTTCCGTAAAAAGCAGTGAAATTTAGGACTTCATGAAGTTAATGTGATTCATTTGACATTAACTGTAAACGGTTGTAATTTAATAATCATCAGTTCATAGCCTCAGATTTGTTTGGTATCAACTAGAAAGTGCATTAAACAGTAGGAATATCTGAAAAAAAGAAAGCTGCAGGGAGAGAGAGAGAGAAAGGAAGGGAAACCAAAACTGAACAGAGATTTACAGAGGTGCAGAATTAACACAGGGAAGAGTCATGAGCTCTTCTTTTTAAATTGGTTGCAAGACTTTGCTGGTGAATATATTCACCCATCCTGGGAGAAAAAGATGTGTGTCCCTTCACTGTCTTCTGTAATTGCATCGAGTCCATGCACTTATTTTGGTCTTCATATTCATCTTTCAGATGTTACTTTGATCTTTTTGAGGTATTTTGCTTAAAGGTGCTTTAACTGCAAGAAGTTGACTGCATCAAGTTCTCCCATTTCTCTTGTTTTCTGCTTTCCTGGTCTTTATCTGGCAGCATCATAAGGAATAGTCCCTTTTCTCAGAAGTTCTGTGCAGCTCATGCAGATCCAGGAATGTGTGATTTTGATACATGGTGAATAATGAGGTTTAAGCTCAAGATAAATTGCAAAGGTTGTGGAGGGCAGAACCGTTTCCCGTGGCGAGCGAGCTCCTCGTATTTACAAAAGTGACTTGTAATTTATTTTTAGCTGCCAGTCATAGTCTGAATCCAGAAAGGTGGTGCAAAATCCTAACACGGGGATACAGTGAAATGAGCCTGTAGTGCTGATTTGTTCTTTGTGCAGTACTATATCACTGCTGCTCTCGGTGCTCTGGTCCAAAACTGAGACCTGCACTGCAGCAGAAAATGAGCATTCAGCACCACAGAACCTGTGAGGTGCCCAGCTCTTCACCAGAGAGTACATGACATTTTGGGCTATGTTGAGGGGATGTCTGGTAGGTTAAAATTTTTAAGCCTTTTAAGTGTTTATATTTGTAAGTTTTGTTTTCCAGAACAGCTCATTGCTGTGTTTATCCTTGTCCCTAAATCCTTTGAGTGGTTCCCTCCAACATCTTATCAGTTGGTAGAGAGGGCACTGCTAGAAGTAAGGCAAAGACTTAATTTTCTAGCTCAGTGGATCTTCCTGTATTTTTCCAACAGAACTTGCTTTTCCCACATATCT